ATTATCTCTTGATGCCTGGAGCAAGAACTTCCAGAGCCAGGTGCCCCTAGCTGGCATATGTTGAATATATCACTGAGAAGTCTGAATGGGTTTGTGTATCACCTTCTCCAGGGTTTAGGGCAAAGTTACCAGGGTTGGGGTGGGGGTTTATCAAATCACACAGCCGACTTGGCTACCCTGTGGGTGTGGCCTGACTGTAAGGGTTGCCATAGTGGGGTATGTTAGGAGCAACAAATGTATGATCTGTTTGACTGTTTTCTCATGGAATTAATGTGTTGTTTTTGCAATAATGATGAAATTAATATGAGATCTGATTTTGGTCTGTTAAATCTTAGACATATATTTAAAGGAAAATGTTGAAAACATAGCCAATTTTAAAATCCTTAAGCTTTTTAAACATGCAAATGTTTTGTATTTTTATATCTTCTAAAGTAATGTTTTAAATGTATTGATTATGATGAAACTTGTAGTGTTTTATTGCTTTTGTCTGATTTTATGAATGTTCATTTTAAGACTCGTTATTGAAATGGGACAATTTGGAAACCGTTCTTTGATAAACCTGAGAAGAGGACTTCCCTTTGGGCATTGAGCCTTCCTCTGCATGATGTCCCCATGTGCCCGAGGGTGTTTTCCCTTTCCAAGTGGACTCATGGAAGGAGAAGGGCCAAGCCCTGAGCGCCTCTTCAAGGAAAAGAGATGCAAGAGGACGGCTTGTCCCAGAAGAGCCCTCGCAGGCTGCCTGCTCAGCCCATTCATTTGAGTTTGCATGTTTCTCTGCACTATGGATTTTGAGCATTTAGATTTTCATCAAGTACATTTCAACCACTACAGTAGACATTTTCTCTCTGAGGCATTGTGCTTTGCACGAGAACAGCCAGAAGTTGAGGGAAAAGTAAAGTTAAAGTCGGTTCTCTTTCATAGCAACATGTGTTGTCTGACATTCAGCCAGCTTTTTAGATTTTTTTTCCAGTAAATTCCCTGTTTTCCTGTCCTGTATTCGCAAAAAGCAGTTAGAATGTCTCTCCAGGAATCCTGAGCCTCACAGGACTGTGTAGCTCTAAGCCTAGGAGTAGACCGCATAGAGTAGTGATCTTATCTAGATGACACGCACGGGTATCCTGGGGGTGCCCGGGGCGTTGCAGTCTTTCCTGCATTTGGTTTTCAGGAATTACATGAATGACAGCCTACGCACAGATGTGTTCGTGAGGTTCCAGCCTGAGAGCATTGCCTGTGCTTGCATTTATCTTGCCGCCCGGACACTGGAGGTCAGTGTTGTGCCACCACAGGGGATCCTGGTCTGATTCTTTCCCCAGCCTTCAGTAAACTTCTATGTAGGGTTCTTCAGATTATGTGCATTAATGCCAATAAGAAGCCTGTTTCTGGGTGACCAGAAAGGCTTGTTTTTTATTGCCCGAAGAATCTTCGTGGCCATGAAAAAAAGTATTAAAGTGATGATATTTGTGTTTACAGATCCCTTTGCCCAATCGTCCCCATTGGTTTCTTTTGTTTGGAGCAACTGAAGAAGAAATTCAAGAAATCTGCTTAAAAATCCTTCAGCTTTATACTCGGAAAAAGGTTCTATGTTTTTTCATGTAACATATGCATTTGTGTTACCTAGAAGTACCTGGTTCTGAATCTTTTTGGATTTTGACTCCCACAGGTTGATCTGACACACCTTGAAAGTGAAGTAGAAAAGAGAAGGCATGCCATTGAAGAGGCCAAGGCACAAGCTAGAGGCCTGCTGCCTGCTGGCACCCAGGCTCTGGACAATGCTTCAGGGTTCTCACCTGCCCCCAAGCTCGGTGAGCATGAGTGTAAGGATGTGGGGCCCTCCTTTCCTCCAGATTTCTCTTGGAATTGTGTGTTTGCTAGCCTGAGCACTCGGCAGGAACCACGGTCCCCAGCAGACATTTGTTGATCTGTGAAGTGAGGGGGCGCTCCTAAAGTTTTCATTTTTATAGTTTATTTTCAAGACTTAATTGATTTGAGAGTATGAGAGCATGTGCCGTGAGGGGTGGGAGAGGGAGAGGCAGGCTGCCCAGTGAGCAGGGAGCCTGACGTGGGGATTGATCCCAGGACCCTAGGATCATGACCAGTTTGAAGGCAGATGCTTAACTGACTGAGCCACCTAGGCAGGTGCCCCAGGATTTTACTTTTAAGTAATCTTTACACCCAGTGTCAAGCTTGAACTTAAAAGCCTGAGATCAAGAATTGCATGCACCCCAACTGAGCCAGCCAGGCATACCTTATTTTTATATTTTCATTAGCAAGGGACATGGACAGGCTTTCCAAAATCCTTTTTTTAATCCAGCCCACCTAATTAGCTTATTTTCTGATGAAAATTTTATAAATCTGGGGTAGTAGATTATTTTGTTGGGTTGTAGCATGTCCCCAGTCCCTGAGAGAAAGTGAGGGAGACAGGTGGCTTATCTGTGTCTGTGTCTTTTGGGTGCATGGTTAGGTTCTGAGTCCCAGGCCAGGACCAGGGAGTCTCCTTACATCCCATATTAGTGGTGGTGTCTTGCTGTGCTAATATGTTTTCTATCACAACAGGTTCCTGATGGTCAGGTTTTAAACTTTCTGTATTTGGTCTAGCAGAATCCCCCAAAGAAGGGAAAGGAAACAAAGCTTCCCCGCTCTCTGTGAGAAACGCCAAGAGAAAAACGGATGGCGTGAAGAAGATCAAGGCTGACAGCCCAGTAAATGGGTGAGTACCCATGCATCCCAGGCAGGCCTTCAGGGTGGGCTACAGAGACTTCAAGCCTGTAACTGCTCCCACTGTGTTCTCAGCTTGCCAAAGGGGCGAGGGAGTCGAAGTCGGAGCGGCAGTCGTGAGCAGAGCTACTCAAGGTCCCCATCACGATCTGCTTCTCCTAAGAGGAGGTATGTGCTTGCTGCCCAGAGCAACCCTGGTTGTGGGGCGGGGCTGTCTGGCAAGGGGGTGTTTTCCTCAGGGTGGCTGGTGATGTGGCTGCCTGAGGTGGTTGGGGTGAATGGTCACCTACTTGGTGGTGCTTGTCCTTCCTCACAGAAAAAGTGACAGTGGCTCCACGTCTGGCGGGTCCAAGTCTCAGAGCCGCTCACGGAGCAGGAGTGACTCCCCGCCGAGACAGGCACACAGAGGTGCTCCGTACAAGGGCTCCAAGGTGAGGAGCTACCGGAAGTCTAAGGACTGCAAGTACCCCACCCAGAAACCACACAAATCCCGGAGCCGGAGCTCCTCTCGCTCTCGAAGCCACTCACGGGAGCGGGCAGATAATTCTGGGAAATATAAGAAAAAAAGTCATTACTATAGAGATCAGCGAAGGGAGCGTTCTCGGTCTTATGAGCGAACAGGTCATCGCTACGAGCGGGATCACCCTGGTCACAGCAGGCATCGGAGGTGAGGTGCTGGGCTCCCAGAGCACTGCCCTCTGATCCTTGGTGTACACACCAGGCAGGGCATGACTGCCTTGTGGTGTGTGACTCTTTTTGGAAATGGCTGTTAACTCTGGACCTCGTGATGATTTTGGAGATGGAATCAAGAGGCCGGCGAGGTGCCCTTTAGGCCGGCCTGGGCACGGTACACACCGGTGCCAGCACAGGGCCCACCTCAGCAGCCAGCCCTGTGGCAGCTGGATGTGGAAGCGGACACGTACATCCTAGTGGTGTGGCTTGGTGCTAATGACAGGCTGTGTCTTTACTCCCATACCAATACTCAATTACGTTAAACCAAGAAAATGACTTTTAGAACCTTTGCCTATATTAGGTTGTACTTCTGTACATATTTTGCAGTGTTTCACGATGAGAAAATGGCCTTAATAGCCCCTTATTCTCTATCCGCCCTGTAAATAAACATGTGTTTAATACAAGTTAAAGCTATATATGAAAACTCAGAACTTGAATTCTGTCAGCTTAAAACTTGTGTAGAGAATTCTGATTTTTAAAATGTGAAGGTATTTAGATCTGTGTTGAAAGTCGTATATTTTTATCTGTGCGATGCTGTGTGCAGGCCACCAGCTCCCAAATAGAGGTTTCCTATATATGCATTTTACGTGATTAAATAAACACCATTCTCTCTACTCAGGACATTCGGAAGGTTCAGAAATGTGTGGTTTGTTCTGCTTGCTCGTTCCTGTGCACGGCCTGTAGTCCCGGCTCTCGTCTCATTGAGTGCTGGACTGCTTTTCCACCGAGGCTCGTGATGAGCTTGAGCCATGTCTGCTGCCTGACAAACGCCACTTTCTGGGCCCTCACGGAGGGGGAGGGTCGGGGAAGGACAAAATGGTCCTGCAATCCTCTTGGTCCTGAAGGACAGCAAGTGTGGGTCGGGTAGGTGGCGGCTGGGAGGGCAGCTGGGGCGTGGGCCCCAGGAAAGGCGAGGGAGGTGGGTCCAGGGGGCTCACTCGTTCTGGTGACCCGCCGGTAAAATGCCGGGAGGGAGGGAGGTCGGGGCGCCCGCAGTCAAGTCCCGGGGGCGGAGGTCCACCGTCCACGCCGACCTTAGCGAGGCCGCCGGCGGGGTACACGCTGGGAAAGCAACACCCGGGCTGCCTGCGGTCTTTGGGTGTCCTCCCGCTGGCACAGGAGAGCACCGGAGAGGAGCTCTCGGCCTTCAAAAGCGCCGTGTTCTCCATGCACCCCCGGCGCCTCCCGCGGGGCTCCTCTTGACCCTGGATAAGGGATCTAGGCCGTTCGCTCACCAGCCGCTGCCGGCTCCCCGAAAACTCTTTCCGTCGCTGGGCCGACGCCACGTCCGCCCGCCTCGGATTGGTCGGTCGTGACGCGAGGCTTTACTGCACAGGCGCACAGGGCACCCCTTGGTCTTATGGGAAATGTAGTTTCCTCGCCGCCATAAGGGAGAGGCTGAGGCTGTGGGCGGGGCGGGCCGCCCCTCTGGCCGGAAACCGCCGCTATCTGGGCCCGGCTGGACCTGCACCGCCGCGGAGTTTGACGCCGTGAGGGCGCCAGGGGGCGCTGGGAGGAGGGGGTCGCACGCGAGGCCGGGGGCCGGTTTGGGGAAGGACCGGAAGTGCCTGAAGTCGGCGCCGGAGTGGTGTCAGGTCCCCGGGCTAGGTGTGGGTAGGGTCTGCGGGAGACCGCGGCTGCGGGGCCGCTCGAGTGAGGCCGGGCTAGGACGGGGAACGCCGCCTCGTGGCCTGCAAGCCCTGACGGCCGTGCGCCCACGGCGGGTCCCTGGGCGGGCGCCGAGGCTCGTGGGGGTCGGCTGCGGAGGCTCCAGGTGCAGTCAGAGCCGCGGCGGGACAGGGTGATGGGGGTGACGGGCAGGAACCCGGCCGCCCCGCGTAACCCCCCGCTCACCTACATTGCCTATATTGCAGCCCCTGGAGCGCCTGGGGTCCCCACAACCACGGACCATGCTCCTGGTGCGCCTGACCCCGCTGCTGAGGGCTGTTCCTCGGGCAGGTAAGGGACCCCGGGGTGTAGAGGCACCCTGCTTTAGGAATGTGGAGCGAGGAGTCCCTGCCCCTCCTTCCCCCGCCTTCAACCTGCCCGTGCGTCGCACTGGAGGCGGGCCAGCCAACAACCAAGTAGCAAAAAGGGAAGGCCTGGGCTTGAGAACGGCAGCGTGAGTTCCTGCAGGGAACAAGGTGCGGGGCATCCCCGTCCGTGTGGACAGCGCTGCTCCCCAGCCACGGTGGCTGGGCTCAGCCCTAGCATCGCTGCTTGGGTGGTAAGTGTGCCTTTCCCTGTTCTGCAGGTTGCAGTCGGCCCTGGCCGGCCTCAGGGCTGCTGGGCAGGCGAGCCTGCAGGCCCTGCTATAGCACACAGCCAGCCCGCCCAAGTGGAGTTGCCTCCATCCCTGGGAAGAGGTTCCAGCTGGAGCTTGAGGAGATGCTGGTCCCTAGGAAGATGTCCATCAGCCCCCTGGAGAGCTGGCTGAGCGCCCACTACCTCCTACCCAGACTAGAGGCCAGGGCCCCAGGGACCCTGGCTCCATCCCAACTCTATGAGTGTCCGCCTAGCCAGGTGGGCCAGGGGGCTGAGCAGGGGATGGAGGAGGTCTGGGATGCTCCCCAGATGCAGTGCAAAAATGTGCTGAAGATTCGCCGGCGAAAGATGAACCATCACAAGTACCGTAAGCTGGTCAAGAGGACCCGGTTCCTGCAGCGGAAGGTCCGAGAAGGACGCCTAAGACGGAAGCAGGTAAGCGCGAGCCTTTCAACCTAGGATGGAAATGTGTGACTGTGCTACAGACCGACCAGTCCATTGTCCCTTCCTGTGCCCGCAGATCAAGTTCGAGAGAGACCTGAGGCGTATCTGGCTGAAGGCAGGCCTGAAGGAAGCCCCTGCAGGTTGGCAGACCCCCAAGATCTACCTGAAGGGCAAATGAATCTAGTGCTCCTCTCCCCTGATCTATTTACTGCTGGCAACCCACTGTAATAAATGTTCTGGAACTTCTCTGTCCCTGACTGTCCTGTATTCCCTGCTGCCTAAGCGTCACCTGTCTTGGGATGATGCTGGTGCCAACCTCCAGTTTCCTAGGAGACACAAGAGCCCCAGGATGTAGATAGGGATCCCTTCCCTGAGAAGACTCTTATTCTGGAGCTGAGCCCACAGGAGTGACAGGCTCCTCATTTACTAATATGATGTCAGAATGGCTGTAGACAGAGGCCCAGGCCCACTCTCATGTACTGTCTTCTACAGGGGGAGTCAGACTCTTAAGCCTCTGATGGCAGAAGCACCAGGGGACAGTGCTGGGGGCCTAGGGGGCCAGACTATGAGAGGGAACAGGGAGGGGGGCAGCTGTGCTCCACAGATCCAGACCTCAAATGGCTTCCTGAGATGTCCTGCTCAGCGAGGACTGGGGACCACTGGTCTCCTTTGGGTTCCTTGGCCTTTGCCCCCTCATGGGACCCTGGCTGGGGGCTGATAGGAAAGGATGGCTGGGAGGATGTCCTCTGGCAGGTTCAGGGTTGGGGGTGGCTGAGAAATGAATGCTGTTTGTGGAATTGGAGGAGCCCTGGAGCATCCGTGTGGACCAGTGGATCTCCACATCCAGGCTTGGTGAAGGTGGGCTGCAAGCAGGGGAGCTTGGTCAGAGCCATGAACATGGTAGAGGCTGTTCTCCAGCCTCTGCCCTGCTTCCTGATGGCAGAGTTAAAGGATAGGTCTGAGTCATCCCATAGAGACTTGATGCTGGTACCTTCCCTGAATCTCCTCCACCCATAAGGGCAACACCACTTCTCCCCAGGCTGTGGGGATTTTCTGTCTTGTCACAGAAACATGTCTGGGAACAGGGTTGAGTTCTCTGCCAGTTAGGTAGGGCTTGGGGAGGCCTGCCACGTGGGCTACCCAGCAGTTTCTCTGGAATGGCACAGACTATGTTGCTCACCCCACGTGTCAGTGAGCCAGGCAGGCCCCTACCCTATGCATGGCAGCTAGCCAGCTGGGTATGCAGGCTTCTACTCACTGGGCTGCACTGGGTCCCTTTCTGTCAGGGGACATAGCACACAGAGGGGCTGTGTATGATGGAGAGTGAGGAGTGTGAAGCTGGCTATGATCTGGAGGAGACCTGATACCATGGAAGGTGCAGGCCGGCTTCCGCATGCAGCTGCTGAGGGCCAGCAGTTGGGCTCCCAGCAGCCCCTGTGGTGGGGGCTGGGAACCAGGACAGCCAGAGCACCCTGCCAGCCCAGTCACCTGAGAGGGCCCAAGGGCTCTGTTAGGCCCCCAGCTAGGGTCACAGGCATCCTTCCTGGGTTTTGGGTTTCCTCATATGGGGGCGCGAGGGCAAAGGTGCCATGGTGCAGTGGTGAGGCCTCTTGAGGTGGAGGGGACTGTGTCCTGTTAGTACCAGGTCTGGCCTCTGCTCCGCCTGGCATCTCAGCCTGGCCTCTGCCTGCCAGTGGTGGCGGCAGCTGCTGGGTGGCTGCTCCCATATCTCCCAGCCATGTTGCATTGGCTGCTTCGTGGCTCCCTTCACTCTTCCCTGGTGGGTGAGAGGAGCAGTGGATGCTAAGTTGATCTGCTATCTGGAGACAAAGCTCTGTGAGCAGCTTGGCTGGGCTGTGATTCCAGGGGTGTGATGGGCTGGTCTGTGCAGGAAGCCACAGGTCCACACTCCTGGGAGCTGGCAGCTGGCACCAGCTGCTTCCACTGGGGTGAGTGCCAGCTGAGGGGTTGGGCGTCTGGCCACATGTGGAGACCTTGGTTGTCTCCGTTGGGGGGGGTCCCACTGACAACAGTGGACAGAGGCTAGGAACGCTGCTATAAATGCCCTACAACGCACAGGGCAGCTGACACCTGAGAATAGGTTGCCCCAGACGTCAGTGGTACTACGGTTGAGACCGCTGTTCCAGATGTCACTGATCCTGTGGGGTCAGGTCCTGAACTAGCCCAAACCCCACATCCTTGTCTCCCTGCTGCTGCCTGGGCTGCCTGTGTGCAGAGCTTGTCCTGCCTGTGGCTTGGATGTATTTGGGCCCCAACCACGACCTCAGGAGGCAATTTTGGTGTTTCTGTTTTTATCTCTGCAGTTCCTCCCAGGCTGTAAGAAACCACCTCTTCCCTCTTCTGTATGGGGCCTCCACCCTGCCCCGCCCCAGGCTGTGGGATGTACAGCCCCTTCTCCCTGCTGGCCCCAGGCACCCCCCACAGTGAAAGGGCAGAGGCAGGAGGGGTGTGGCAGAGTGCCGCTCTTGGCATTGCCTAGGTCTTGGTTTCTGGCCAGAGGAGGCCCCAGCCAGGGCCAGAGGTATTGGGGGTGTTCTTGGGCATCTGCTGGGGGCTCTGCCTCTTGGCCCCAAAGTAGAGGCATCTCTGAGCTCAGCCCCCATGCCTTGTCACTTGGCTGCTCCATGCAGCCAGTGTCTTCTGGCCTGTGTGTTCCTGGCCACACGGTGGGCCATGGAAGGAGCCAGACAGGCTCAGGCCTCAGGGTAGGATGCTGAGGCTGGATGCTGGGTCCTGAGAGGGGCTGGTTGTGGCCTGCCTATGACAGATGAGCTGGGAACAGCTGCACTCCCTGTTGTCCAAGGAGTATGCAGGCTGGTGAGAGTGACACAGCCTCCAAATGGAACGGAGATGGAGAAAGAAGCCTGCTCCGCGGGCCTGGCCAGCTGAGCTCTGTGAGAAGGGTCACTGGAATGTTGTTGGGATCAGTCCTCTCTAGGGCTAAGTTCTGGGGAAAGCCCTTGAAGGGCTCTTGATCTGTGACTCCTGGGATGGGGCTGAGGAGTCCAGAGCTGGGTCTGGAGTTAGCCTCAGGATGGGGACCAGTGGGGACAGCCCCCACCACCTGTCAGGGCACCCAGAGTCCAGCCCATGCTCCCATCAAATTCTGTCCACTGCCGACCTCAGTCTTCTAGGGCCATTTGGATGAGGAATCCGATCCAGGACATTGAGTCGCATGACAGCTGAGTGCTAGGGCTAGAACTAGGGTCCAGGGAGGGTGAGTGGGGTGTCTGGACAGCGTCTGGGGGCCTGGGGTTCTCTGTAGGAGGTGGGGTGGCCTGTGTATCTGCTGAGGACCACTCCCGGATATACAGGGGAGGGAAGCTCTGAACACTCCCTGATGACCCAGGGGGCAGGGAGTTGGGACAACAGCAGAGCTGTCAGGGCTCCTGAGGCAAAGGGGAGGGAAGGCCTCAGGCTGGGTACATGCTTGTGCCACCTCCTAGAGAACATGGTCAAAACCAGAGTTGAGCTACGTCAGGTGGTATTAATAGCACATGCATCTCATAAAGTATAAATTGTAGAGTGTACTTGTCCCAGTAAATTTGGGAGCACAGGTTTCTGCCACAACTGGATGCACGGTGAGTGCTTTGTGACCTGGCACTCTGCCCCACATCCTTGCCCCCTGTGCTGGCCTCACCTTGGTGTGGACAATCTGCAGTCCAGGAGGAGATTGATCCAGCTCAGAGTCCTGCTGAGCAGAGCTGGCCGACCTCCAGGGTCTGCTGTGTGGGTGGACGGGGCCCCTAAGGCCACCAAGACCCTCTCATGGACAGGGCTGTCCTGCCTACCATCTGTCCCAGCTGAGGTGGGTCAGGTATGCAGGGCTGGGCTCCAACATGGCCTTCCCTCTGCACCCAGACCCGGGGGCTCTGGGCCCCTCCCCTCCTCCAAAAGGAGTGTGTTCACTTTGATTGGCCTTGTTGGTTTCAGTACTTTGTATTTACAGTTATTTTTTAACTTCCCAGCCAAGTAAGATTGTAGCTCCATGTGAAGTTGTTCTACAAAGCTGATAACAAAACAGTTTCCTTCTTGCCCACTGGAGTCTGACCAAGCTGGCAACCATGGCTTCTTCAGTGGACTCCCTCCCGGTGGGGATGCCACAGCCTGACAGCACTTGCATGGCCTCTGGGCTCAGCAAGATCACACTTTCCTTTTCATACAACTGTTTGTTTCCTTGTTTTTCTATTTATCAAAATTCAGCCCTAAGGGGATCCCTGGGTGGCGCAGCGGTTTAGCGCCTGCCTTTGGCCCAGGGCGCAATCCTGGAGACCCGGGATCGAGTCCCACGTCGGGCTCCCGGTGCATGGAGCCTGCTTCTCCCTCTGCCTGTGTCTCTGCCTCTCTCTCTCTGCCTGCTTCTCCCTCTGCCTGTGTCTCTGCCTCTCTCTCTCTCTCTCTCTCTCTCTCTCTGTGTGACTATCATAAATAAATAAAAATTTTAAAAAATTAAAAAAAAATTCAGCCCTAAATTTGCTGACAGAATTTTAAAAGTCACAGTTTTGGTCAAATTTCTGAAATGATTATTGTTCACATGGAGTAGCCTCCTGGTGTCCGCTGTCTGGGCTGCCCTGGGCCCCACCTGCTGGGTCCTGGTCACCATGTTCTTCCTTGTTTTCATGGAGTATGTTTGTCTTTTTCCATTTTTTTGAAAGGTTTATTTATTTGAGAGAGAGCATGCACAGGTGGGGGTGGGAAGGACAGAGGGAGAATCTCAAGCAGACTCCCTGCTAAGCACAGAGCTTGATCCCACGACCCTGAGATTACAACCTGAGCTGAAACTAAGAATCAGACACTCAACTGACAGCTCCCCAGGTACCCCAATGGAGTATGTTTTTCTGGAAAATGCTCATGGGAGCTAGATCATACAACAAGGACTAATTGACGTGTGTGAGTGGGTTCCCTGAAGTCCCAGGTGCTGTACTAGGTTCTTTACAGGAGCTGCTTCATTTCCTAGTAACAGTAAATCTGTGATCAGCTAGTTTTATCCGTGGGGGCCCAACAGCAGAGGTTACCTCACCTACAGTCACACAGCTCAGAACCTGTCCATGATTCAGCTACAAGTCTGACTCTGAAACTTAATTTAAGAAAATTATTTTAATAGAAGTTTTGCCTGTGAATGCTGAACTAGGTCAGTAGTTCGATAGTGCTATGAAAAATAGCACACCACCTTTCCCAGGGTCAGTTTTAGCCATCTTAGATGATTCTTTTGGCATTTATTGTTC